CGAGGCGTGTCGGGCGGGACAATTGGCCCCTTGTGTCTCGCATACTTTTGGACACGATGATAATTACACGCGGAACCCATTGACAGAAGCGCGCGCGCGCGCGCGCGCGCCGTTTACGCCGCGGTTGTGCCGATCGTACAACGCGCGTCGCGGCCGTAAGGAAGTTTCATTCGCCACTTTGCCGCGGGAAGCCATTCATACGCAACGAGGCGCACACGCGGCGCGAAATCCGCAAGGTCGAGCCGAGAAGACCCGCAAGTCGAATATTTTCGACCGCTAAAAACCCGACGGGTTTACACAAGTGCGGTGAGAAGAGCAGAGCGCGGCGTGGTCTGAAAGATAATTTTTCCTCGTGCCGCAAGTCTTCTTTGTGAGAAAGAAAGCGGCATTGAAGGGGACTATAAATGGTATTTATAAAAAGACTAATGATAAAACTATTATAAAAAGTGCCTTCTCTGTGCTTTGTGTCTAGATGGAAAAACATTAATTAGAAACTCAGAGAGCCCGCGCTCGCAGGCCTTGTTTCTGACACTTATCTCGTTTGCGTCAACTGATAGCTTGGTAAATTGATTTCTCACGTATTACGAGGGAGGCGAGAACGAACGACAGTTCTTAATGCGCGATTCTTGACTGCGCGTTCTATAAATATCTCGTTCGACCGAAACAAACTTTCGGTTCGATCTCTCGTTGAAACGGCGGGAGCGGCAATTGGCGCGCGACAAAAGCTCGTAGGAGTTCTCGACCAGTGATTTATTTTCCCCGCAACATATTTACCGGCGATAAGGCCGAGATGCATTGCAAATCCGATATTGTTTGCCGAGCAATATCGATCTCGGTACGCGGGCGCATAGGAGGAATTTCAATAGCCGCGCGTAGGATGAACCGGGCGACCGGAAATAACGCGGTTTCACTTGCCGCTTGTATAACCGACGGTTATCGCATGAAAGTCTTGCTCCTCGGATCGTGCTCCTTCGTCGTATTATAACACAATCGCGCATTGAGACGCGCGACTACGTGGTGATTCGCACATTTTGCTCTTCTTCTTTTTTCCCCCCCCTCCTTCGCGACGAGCGAATCCTCTCACTTTTTAGTTTCGCTCGTCTCGCTTTTATCTGATCCGAAACTTTCAGTTCGGGCCTGCCGATAATGTTAGTAGTATTTAGCAAGAATGATAATAACTGCACCCACGCGCGCTCTAGATTCAACAGACTATATATTATTTATACAATACATAATGTTGTTATATATGTTATTAATTTAATTGCTTTTAATTCTTTAGATTGCCTGCCTCGTACAAGTTATAATTTCTGCTGCTCCATAATTGCATTCATTATCCAAATAGCAGAGATTAATTAATTAAAATTACTCGGTGCGTTTCACTCCATTTCGTGGAGGTTTACCTTTCATTTACGAACCCGCAATTAGCTCGCTTGGACAAAGACGATTTTCAAACTGACCCCCCTCCCACCCCCTTAGGGCCTCGCGGGCATCGAAGCCCGATAATATTTTTAACGATGTCCCTGGCATCTCGTGTTCTTTAACGATCGGTCTTCCGACGTAAATGTTAAGAAACAATGCGTCGCAAAATAACTGGTAACTCGCGTCACCAAGGGCCGACCCTTTGATTACTGAAGCTTAGGCGCGTAAGCCGGCATAAATTGCCGATTACCGTTGCAAACGACCACTTCCGTCGATGAAAGTAATTAAGCGCCGGCGCGGCGTGGGCCGCGTCATGACGGCATGACGATAATTCTTGGAGAAGCTCCTCTCTCGCTCTCTTAGTTCATTACGTAAATCGCCGCATAGTGACTCTCCCCGCGAGCGAGCGAGCGACGTTACACAAACGCAGCGGGATCCTCAATTTCCGTCGTATCGCAATAATTCGCCGGCATTCCGCCACGGCTCCTCCAACCGCGAATGAACGAGTTTCTTGTGGCCGTACAAAGGTCGATTCATTGAGAAATCAGCTGTACCGAGTGTTTCACAAGCGAGAGGCTCCGGCTGAATGAAAAACGTAGAAAGCCTCCGCCGTACGCGCGCTCCGTTTCAGATCCGTCGAGATAACTGGGTTCTTTTTTCTATTTTTTTTTCCTTCGTCGCCGAAAACTTGCTCCAGATTTGCCGAGGGAACGGCACTCGCTAATAACGCGGTTACTTGTGAAATACCTTGTACTACGGCTAGCACGTGTTACAAAGGAGTCTCGATTCGTTGTACACGACTAGCCTCCGCTTTATTTAGCCTCTCGATATCCGTGCGCCGAATTCCGATACCTGTGCAGACGATCCCTTTTGCAGGATCGGCACGCGACTTAACGAGTAACGTTACACAACGAATTTCCCTAATACGACCGACGTGAAAACCGGCCGTTGGGCAAACAACTGTTTTCGCAAACACACGCCGATGGAATATCGGCTGTACCTAGGGCAACTCTCGTTCACTTACAAATTTAATTTAACTGCAACCCGATTCTCTCCCCCGTTTTTTTTAGTTTTCAGAATAGATGAAACCACGCGCGATATTCGTAGGGGAAACAAATTGGTTCCGAGAACAATTCAACGTTCACATTGCTCTCCGCGCGGATTTAACTGTGTTGCGCCAATATTATTTGAACAACCACAGGTCCTACTTAAGAGTTGACGCGAAAGTCGCGGATTAATTTTTCTCGTCTCACATTATCTACCGGCATTTATTACCAGCAGTGTTTCTCAAGTGAAATAATACCGGCCACACTCTCGTTACGAGGAAAATATTTTGTAAAAATATAGATGCGAGAGACAGAAAGTGATTTTAGATTTACCAGCGATGTTTCTCAAGTGAAATCATATCGGCCACTCGTTACGAAGAAAAAATTTTGTAAAAACATTGATACGAGGGTGAAAAAGAGATTTCAGATACTTTTTTTTTTAGAGAGACTTAAAACTTGAAACCCTTTTATGCGAAAATATCTCGTTGGATTCACATGTGAACGTATTTCGCGTATGTGTACTTTTTCGCTTTTATACGAACGAACGAGTGTCGTTCTGCTACGAGACAAATTAATATTGGATGGACATTATCAGCAATATGCTATCAGCAGATATCGCGAAAAGCGTTTAATGTAATTTTCGCTCTAATTAAAATTCCATCGAAAATTACGTTGGTATTAATGAACTTTTCAACTGTAAATTTAATAACGAGAAATGAAGAGTGTGGAATGTGTGTAATTTCCGATGAAATTCTACTTTACGTTCAACGGTGCGTTTCAGAAAGTTAATAGCGTGTAACGACTGATAAATACACTTCTGCGAGAGATGCGCAATCGTGATGATCGCGAGATAAAAGTGCACGCATGAATTAACGCGCGACTGGGTCTCCCAGCCATTCTTGACACTTTTATCAGCCGTCCTCGTATCAAGTTGGTATCGCGCGAAGAAGCGATAAGCGATCTCGCGGCGAGAAACGTTGCCGCGAGTTCGACGAACGTCGGCCGCGCTAATTGGCGTAATTAATTGCAAACTTGCTCGCGAATGAAAGTAAGCGCTTACGTAAAAGCGAATTGTCGAGATGCGCCTCTGTGACCAACGACGAGTGAGAGTTCGCAAAAGCCGATAAAGATCGATTACCTCACGCGAAACAGCGGCACGGTAAAGTAATATTCAAACGCCGAGACCGTTCGATTTTCGCCGTATTTTCGCTTTATATATCAGCCGTATAAAATTTGGAATCGGGCGGCCACGTTTAACGCTAAACGCGACGCTAAATTTAGGCAGCCGCGGCGACTAAGTTTGGATCCGATTAATATGCACTCGCGGTACGTTATCTCTCCTCGCGTCGCGACGATAATAATTTGGCGCTTTTACGTTTAGCAAAATGTTGCGAGAGACAATCTCAAGCGGCGTGGAGAAGCGAGTTGTTCTTATTTTTAATCGCACTTCACATTTCTTAGCATGCGTCATCCGCGGGATAAATTTGCTCGACGTGGTATCGATTTCTAATAGACGTCTGAAGCTCGTTTATTAGACATAGGCTCTTTATAGCTTGATTTGCGTAGTACGGCATCCACAAAGAGCGACATTTTATCGATCAGGAAACGATACGAAAATGTACTCCCGTCTACCTACGTTTCCGTTTCTATCCTATTGCCTATTCTATCGTAAAACCTCACCGCGACGCTTCAACCCGCCCCGTTACCGTACGCTTCAGGAAGCTGCTAAAATTATTACTTTCTCAAACGATCACGGTGCTGTCTTGTTAATTAAAATTAATTGTATGACAGATATCTTCAGTATCGGCGGTTACAATCTCTAGATGGAGCCTACGAACGGAGACCCGTTATAACTTCGTACAAATCAGTTATATTGTTGAGCCAGCTATCCGCTGGTACTACAATTCCCTGCAAACCCTGTATTGATTTAGTGTTTCGTTGAAATAATTTACTAAAAAAAAATTGTCAGTTTAAAATAACCGAGGGAAAATTATGCTATTGGATGTTTCTTAATCCTCAATTTATACAAAATGTACAATGCACCAACGTAAAATTCTCTTATCTTAAATTTTATTCTCTTTCCTATTTAAAAAAAAAAGTATTGAAATTTAAGAAATACACCGAAATAAATCTATGTACATAACTTTTCTCAGGTATTGTCTTTAACAATGTAATTATCTTTTAACCTTTGACTATGAAATTAATTACCCCGGGCTTTGGTTACGCACTTTATTCACGTATCAATCTCAAAATTTTCCGCTTTGTATTGTTAGTTCGCTTGAAAAGGGCCATTGTCGAAACGTTGCGAGCCTCGAACATTAAAATTGCCTGATATAGTCAAACGAACTTGAAGTTGTTAAAATTTAAGGATTAAAATAGATCATCCAGATATAAATAAGTAAACGCTCACCTTAGTCGTGTACGAGGATACTCGTGGTATATTTTTTCAAAATTCTCGCAATTTGAAATTATGTAAAATACGATACGCAATCGAGATTTCGGATATTTTCGGATGCGGAGAGACAAGCGAAATTGTTCGTTTCGTAAGAATGTTTATTTCGTACGATTATAACAATATTAGTTAGGACAATATACGAAGTATTAAGCGCGTTTAGTTGTCGTCGATAAACAGCGAGCTCCTATGACAGGATAAAGTAATATCTCGTTAAGTTTTGTACTCCACGCCACCTCTCTGTCTACCCTGCGAGTCCCTAAAGTTCTCTCCTTTAAAGAATCGCACTGGAGTAGACGTTGACGAAACTTTACGAGCGCGATGCAAATTAACAAAGTATAATAGGTTCTACCAAAGTGCTTCTCGCCAAAGTCAAGCTCGACGATCCAGTCGCTAGAATTTAATAAAACAGAAAATCTGACAAGTGAGACAAGAAGACAGCCACGAGAACGCACTGTCAGCAACGAGAATGTTTGACGAGTTTATACGCGGTACGTAATTTTGAGTCTGCGGCGAAGTAGTGATGTCACCGGGGAGTTTTATCGTCGTGATTCACTTCGAAGGACGAAATCTCACGAATACCAAGCTCGCCTTGGTGGCACTCGGGTCTCACGGTCTCGAGTCTACTTCGCGATGACGCGCGGCACGTCAGGGCTTGTTCGGGGCGCTTCTGGGCCTCTTCGGAGTGGCGTACTTGACGCACAGGAAACCGAAAATGATGAGTCCGGCGACGATAGAGACTCCGACGCCCAGCCAAAGCTCGCCTCGCACGTTTAACTTGTCGAGAGCGATCTCGCGAAGAGCTAACGCGCCGTCGGGCGGCTCGCACGCCGCCTGGATAATGATGTCCTGCCGTTGGATCTGTTTGGGCTTGCAATTGGCCAGCTTTCCCACGCTCTCGCTCCTGTGCAGTCGCGGCAGCAGCAACGACAGCGACCACTGCATCGGGCTGATCTGCTGATACCACGACGGCAGGTTGTCCAGGTGCAGAGTCGCCCCGCCGGCCAGGGTCATCTCGCCCAGCACCACGCCGGAGAACAGCGCCGCCAGATAGGTCCACTTGCACACGTGCGCGAAGAACGTGCAGATGAGGTGCTGCAGCATCAGGTACAGCAGACCAACGGCGATGTAGTTCCACAACGACGTCAGGTTCTCGTCCGGCACGAGGTGCAGCCCCGACATCGCAAACGCCGGCGCCAGATATATCAGGTAGATGACGCACCAGGACGGCACGCTGCAGATGAGCTGAAAACGAAAGGCGTTTCCCTCGTACCTTCCGCTTGTAAGATAAAAGTCGAGGTCTCGGCGAATCCAGGCTTACCTCTACGAGGATGTACATAAATCTACCGTACAGCCCGTCCCTGATGTCCCTCTCCACGTTCGGCCTGCTGTCGGCCACGTCGCACATCGCCAGGAGGCTTAGAGGCCAGAAGAAGATGCCCAAACTAGCGTAATGGTAGCCTATTCTGTCTCGTAGATACAGATTCGACTCGCTGGCGATGTCCCAGAAGATTGCACCGAGTAGAACGCTGAGCGACGCGGAAATGAGGATTTTCCGCAGCAGTCTTGTTAACGTCCACGGTTGACTGTAGATGAGCGTGCGCAACAACAGCGCGTAGAATTGCACAAATATATTGGGGCCGGACATCGAGGGCGGCAGTGCGCCGGGTGGTCCAGGATCGCTGATCGGAGGTAGCCTCGTTCTGGCCAGCTCCGCCAGGTGATCTATCCTCTGCGAGGACTCCAGCATCGCTTCCGCCGACAGGTCATCCAGCGTTACCAAATCAACTGGAAAGAGAGAGAACCGTTCGTTACACGAAAAAAGAATTATTTCTAAGCGGGCAACGCCATCTTCGGAAATAACATTTTATTCGCAATTTGCCAAGAATCGATTTAAGATTTCAATATCGCCACGTACGATAGTAGTCGGACGGGTTCTTGAACGGCGGACACGGGAACTCGGCGAGCGCGAAATATGGCAGCATGTCTCTTCTGAGTCCGGAGTACATGACTCGACCGCCGGACGTGAGCGCGACCCTCGACACCATTGTCAGGATCTCGTAGGTGGGGGGATGCAGGGTCAGGACGACGAGACGCTGACCGCGGTTGGCCCACTGCCTCAGGTACTCAACCAGAAAGAAGGCGTCGAAGATGTCCAGACCGTGCGTGGGTCTGTCCAAGGCGATGACGTGCGAGTCCTGCAGCAGCCGGCAGGCGAGGGCCAATCGTCGGGCCTCGGAGGTCGTCAGGGTGTTGACCAGGCAGTGCTTGGTCGCCTCCAAGCCGAGCTCCTGCAGGATAGCCTCGGCCTCGAGCGAGGTGGTGTTACGGCCGCCTCTCAGCAACATGTAGAAACTGAGGGTCTGCTGAGCCGTCAGCCCGGGGCTCAGGCCACTTTCCGTGGGCAGATAGGCGACGCGGGATCTATTTTCGTAACAATATTATGATAATTGAGTAAAACTCAATTCCAGTAAAGACGGTATTGTCAGTAAAGATTTCTGACGTTCGGGAATATTATCATATCAAATTATCATAGATGATCTATTCGGTTATATCCGTAGTCGGATAACTCTATTACTCTCGTATAATCGCGCAATGAAAATTACTTAATACCTTTTCATGTATGCAATGTCTTTTAAAATGTATGATGTAACTAAAAGTTGTCCGAGGAGTAAAGTTGCAGTCCCAGATTAAGTATGAAGCAATAATGAAGTCGGCAATTGAAGCGATAATTGAATAATGAGCACCGCTCGTTATTCACCTTATTATTCAGCTCTACTCGAAAATTTATATGCTAATGCATTCGCTAGTTACAGCCTGTTTCGCTAATGTCGGTTACCGTTAGCCGCAGTTAATTAAATCTTCCTTTCTGTCTGGATCATAGCCGATGCTATGATCTAGAAAAAAAAACAAGGAGTCAACTAAATTGAAGCTGATACATATTGATGAAACCGGCCACGGATCTCTCGTTCAATTATCTTCCCACATTTGTCTTATTTAACCGCGTTTATTTTTTATATACGTTTATGGTATATATTTTCTAGCGCAACTAAATGTCGCCTGAAGCAAGAAACTGGCGTAAACTTTTGTATTACAAAATTTCCTTTTTTCATACTTTTAGAAATATTAATTTTACGGAGAGCAGATACACAAACGCTGTAACCAATCGTGTAACAGGTTTAATGGTTCGCCGCCGCGTTACAAGAAAGTGTACGCGTGCAGCAGGAAGATCAGAAAGTACCTTAGGCTGCGTGCCGATACGGATCTTCCATTGAGTAGAATATCGCCTCTTTTTATACGCCTCCTACCCGCGATCGTCTCGACGATCTGCGTGCCTTCCTTCTCGGTAGTCGCCATAATGGCCAGCACCTCGGCGGCGCCGGCCTCGAGGGTGATTCCACGAAGAAGCGGCAGCCCGTCCGAGCCTGAAGCCTCTACGCCCCGCAGCTGCAGGTGAGGATGCTGCAGGCACGGCATGGGTCTCATTGGCAGCGCGTAACCTTCCGGTCCCAGGATACCGTGTCCTAATAGAAACGTATAATATTTCGGATTAAAAATTCTTTAGAAGATCGGAAGAGTCGAAAAATTCCTCGACGATGGCCTTCTGTAAAATCTTCATTTTAATATTGGCCTAAACCCATACAGCACATAAATGTTGAAACAACATCTCAGAAACGTTTCATTACATTGCAATATTGCATTAATATTACGAAATGTAGATTCAACGTTGAAAAGATATTGCAAAAACGTCTAATGTCTAACGTTGCAGCAACATAAAGAAGCAATGTACAAACATTAACTTAGATTCAACATAGAAAATATATTTATACTTTAACATTCAACATCGCAACGTTTCAGCAACATTATTTTAACTTTCTGTGCTGTATGGGAGATGGAGTGCTCGGTTCATTTTTATTTATTTGTTGTTTTATACCATGCGCTATATATCCTGGATCGATCGGCGCGATGCTGTGTCGCCGATTGGTCCTGACCGCGCTCTGCAAGAGATTAGCCTCGCTGGCGCTCCTCAGCCTCGGATGCTCCCTCGCGACAGTTAACTGAGAATGCGCTGGCTCCCTCGGGACAGCGTGGACGTGCCTGAAATCCGGATCGCTCCTGGCCGAACGCATAATCGAGGTCGTATGCACCGGAGCACCTGCGCGTCGAAATAGACCTTGTAACTCTACCACCAAACGCACGTCAATTCCGATGATCCCTAATCTTGTTCAGCGACCCAAATTAAATGATAAATGGCGAAATAATAACGTGGACAATTTTTAAAGCAACGTCAGTGTTTTCTTCACCATACCTGGCATTTTTAATAATACAGAAAATTTATTGCGAAAAATATTACCTCAGCCAGGGTTTGAACCTGGACTTCCCTACATTCTAGGCGGGCGTCTCACCAATTCGACCACTGATTGTGAGCCTCGGCAATATTTTTCGCAATAAATTTTCTGTATTATTAAAAATGCCAGATATGGCGAAGAATACACTGACGTTGTTAATTACTGCTGGCGACGTTAAAGAACATTCTTATTAATTTTTCAAACAACTCATTAACCCAAAAGCATTCTAAAAATATACAGGCCCGTATTCTGAACCCTCTTTCATCAACAAAAGCGCCTCTAAAAGTGGCTTGTAGTCAATCGGAAGGCGACTGGCCGCTTTTAGAGGCGTCTTTGATGAAAGAGGGTACAACGGAGTCTCTTTCAAATAAGAAACTGACGGAAGAGTGCGATAGAACAGTAATTAATCGGAAAGTGCGAGCAGTATCGAGCACCCAGCTCAGATATCGCCGCTCGTACCTGCGTGCGACACGCGTCGTCCTTCCTCGCTGGAGTCGTAGCCGCTCGAACCGTCGCGATTCCGCGAGCTGGGCGGCAGGACGCGCGGCAGGCCGAACTTCAAGTACGTGTAAGAATTGTTGGCCAGTGGACTCTTGGGCCCGTATCGCGGATGCCGCAGTATGCTCTGCACCGTAGAGTCGCGCAGCTGGAAGTTGCCGTACGGCAGCGGCGACTTCTCGGCGGAGCCGAGCGCGGAGTCCGTGAAGTCGGAGTTCAGGTTTTGCCTGCGGAATCGCGGAAATGCGTATACCTCGCGCGCATCGACATTCCACCGTGCTTAGCATCCATTCTTTGTATACAACGAGATATTTTTAGTTAATTAGATGAGAGAGAGAGAGAGTTGATTGGATGATTAAGGCGCATTCTTTATTTCGCGTGTATATAGGTACGCGGAGCTATCCGCATTCCTCTAAATCTCACCCGCGGATTATTTAAAAGGGAGAAGCTCGGAAGAATGGTAATAGGGACTGGAAGTATCTACCGTTAATCGCTACGCGCCGTAGTCATTCGCGCTTGATAATGTTCTGGCACTCAATATTTTTAACGATGATAAATGATATCGTTGATATAATGCACGAGTGTTACGCAGTATATTGTAAATCAACAAGTCCGATGGGCAAATCCTTTCACGTGGCGAACGGCAAAAAAGATGACGCAGCATTCGCTCGAGCGTGTTCCGCCTCCGGTGAGGCTTTAGATTGGACAACGCACGGCGCGGGGATACGCGGATTACACGCTTGCACTTCAAGTACAAGTGTTCACCTGTAAATCGACCATGCGTGCAGATCCTCGCTGGCCGGCGGCTCCAGTCCCCTGGTGTCCAGAGCTCCCGGCACCGAGTACCTCCTCTCCAGCTCCCAAGCTTCCGAGCCCATATTTTCCGGTGGCTGGACAGAGATTGCAGAGATGCGACCGGTTAAATTTCCGCGAATTTACTCCGAGATAACGTAACGTTCCTCTCCTTTTATTTTAATTACAACGCCTTGGCGCCGCCGAGAGGGAAAGTAAAGGAAAGGAACGCTCTTTCTCTCTTATCAGTTTCGGTCTCGAATCGATTGGCAAGTCGATGTAATCGTTTCCAATGATTTTCATGAAAGAATAAGTAAAGTATATTCCTGAAAATATTATAACCGTGGGACAACGCGGCATTTCGAAGAATTTTTTTTAGCGTTTTTTGAAATTCTACCATACATTCTACCAGCGCAATGTATACTAAGTGTAATTACTAATGAAATGTACGGTAAACTTTCAAAAAAACTCTCATGAGGTTCTACAAAATGCCACGTTGTCCCACGGTTGCGCGATTTTCAGGGTAAATTTTAAGAGAAAATTCTCTCCGTGTACAATCGCCTGTTCGATACAAAAGTGTTACCAAGAAAATTTCCCTGAAAGAAAAGTGGTCCTATCGTAAATATTCTAGGAAACTCTAATACTCCTCTCCGTAGGACCGCATAAAACATCCGGTAGACGTTCGCTCGGCGAGCAAAGTAAATTACGTCGGGAATTTTGCGGTGAAACTTTGGCGAACGCTCTCCTCTCGCAGGGACGACCCTCTGACGCTCGATATGAATTTATCGTTACCACTACCCTGCAAGGACGTCCGCGCAGGATTGGATTTATTGCGCAACACGGTCCGGGAGGCTGTTATTAGAGCAAGGAGGAATTTCTTTCGCACGTACCCCGCCGTGCACATCTCGTCCCGGAAAGTCCTGGAAGAGTACGTGCCCACGGCCGACGATTTGACTCGCGAGCAAGTGCCGAGCAATTTCAGAGGCGCGTCGATTACCCCGGCGTTAGTTCTCAGCGGTGTATCCTTGGACCGGATACAGCCCGCGTCCGTCAACGCGATTTCACGACGAATTTATGCCCGTTTCGTTTAAGCGACGAGAAAGTCGAGGAGACCGAGGGAAGCCTCTTCATCATCGAATACATATGTATAACTACGGCATTAAGCAGGGTTGGAAAGTAACTCGTTACTGTCTCTCCGTCTGTAACTCTAACTTAACACTTTTACATTTTCTCGATAACTAGTAGCTAATTTAATAGTTACTTTTATATTTTTTAAATCTCCACAGATTGCATTAAGCCTTGCACTTGCGCACACCCACAAAAAAATGTCTGGATTGTGGTGCCAACTTCGTGCATTATAAGATGGGGGAAAATTTATTCTAAACTTACATTTATATAAGTTAACAGTTGGAAAGAGAGAAAGAACGAATGAAACTGAGCTTAAAGTTAGGCGACGGTGGTGAAACCGGGCCTGTGTTCCCGAACTTGAACCAAGGCATGCAAACTTGTACGAGATTTGCCCAAGTTTTGCTCGTAAGATATGTTTAGTCTGTGCTTTTGCGCGCAAGTAGTTTTGCAAGTAATCTTGCGCGCAAATATCTAACAACTCGGATACAAAAGTCGCTCAACAACGCAAGCAAAATCCTATCCCAGTGCGTCGTCATAGATGTTTGCGCGCAAAGAATTTCGATTGAACAATCGTGCTTCTCCAATCCTTGGCCCGAACGTCATCCGTTTCGTTTGTTAAATTACAACGTGACAGCCTCGCGCCCGATGCGCTTCTTCCGTTGGAATTCAACTCCTGGCTCTGCCTCGATGAGTCGCGCGATGCGTTTCTGCCGGCCCTTCCGATTCTTCTCACCGACTGAAAACTACGGGCTGCAATCCCGTAGTTCCCGCCGGCGAACAAAGCGGGACGGCCCCGTCGAATTTTATCGCGATGGAGCAAATTGTTCTTGCCCGTGCTCGATCGTCCATAAAGAACGGAACGTGCGGACTGCGGAGAATGCACCTACCCGCTGGTACACGCCGTGCAGTCACGGTGCATACTTGACTGCCTGCATTATTAAGCGCCTATAAATATCTACGGACTCTCTACGTTTCTTTCTGTGTATTTAGATAATTTCCTCTCCCCGTATCTTGATCGGTTGAAGTACTGCCGGGCAAATTTGCGAATTACGTCTCGAGGATCATTGGTCCGCTAAATATCACGTCGTGATTCGAGATAAGACGTCGATTCGAGATAGAACGTCAGTTTTAAGATTGTTGCTCGCTTTTTACGGCGCACGAACACCCGTTCGGGGCTTATACATCTTAAGTCTGACGGGTCGCGGCAAAAAAAAACCGCGATAGAGATAGTAATCGGCACGTATGCCGGAAATTACCGCCCGCGGCAATATCATGGCGTGTAACAGTACACTTAATGGCGCAATTACGAAAAGCGGCGCGGCGAAATGTCAGCTAGTCGCAGGCTACCGGAGCAGACCCGCAAATGGCCGGGAAATCGATAAACCGCGCTGGTTTCCGTATTTCACCTTATTCTTAACCGGCACTCTGGATCGCTTGCCTTTACGAGGCGAGGATCTAAATACTCGCTCGTTCCCTTGCGTAATCTCCCACGCCGACGCGCACGTGGGCGACGATAGCTCGTTAGATCGAGTTGTTACATCATGGACTTTCCCCCGTGTACAAGGTCTTGCATCCTTAGTTTGTCACAACCCGAGACGTGGAGGTCTTTCCGATAAGTAGCTTCCGATTTTACGCAATGCACGCCCGAAATCGATTGACTCGAGTTCCAGCTTTAAACGTCTCATCTTTTAGCAATT